CTGATCGTATTGCCGCTTTATAGCTGAGGCTTTAGGGCAAACGTTACAGAGTACCTGTTTGGAGAAACTGATGCATACCACCCAAACGAGCTGTATGCATCATTGTACAGCCGCTCTCTTTAGCTTCCACACACGCCTGTCAACGGCTCGCACCAGGCTCAGGGGCAGCTCGGGATTACTGGGCCGCCCCCCTTCTTTGACCCATTGCGTGAGAGCCCTGTTCTTGGCTTCCTGAGACGAAGTATACCTGATCTCGTACGGGTACGAGGTGTGTGCGAAATAGAATCGCATCTCCTCCATTGTATCAACCAGCTTCTGGACATTGCCTTCTTCAAACCAGATGTATCGCTCACACAGCCGGGAGTCTGACCTCAACTCCAAGCCTCTGGCAGCGAGTGCCTCTCTCAACTCCTTCTCACGAGCGGCTCGATCCCATGCAGCCTCCACGACCTCATCAACGGCGAGGTGGCCGGTGAGACAGGCTGCAGCATCTTCGACATCCAGGCAGTTTACGCACCCGCCCAACGCCTCGTACAGTTTGCTTGCATTGAGTGCTGCTTCGAGGTCCTTGTCAGCACCGCTCGCCAGATACTGATCCCTGTACTGGTCCAGGATGGACTTGAGACCTCCTGTGGCAGGAGGTGCTGCCAGGTCAAAGTGTATGTAACGCTCAATGCGAGCCTTCATTCCTCGTTGGCCACCCTTCCCATTCCTCAGGAATTGATCGCAACAAACATCAAGGATGATGCGCTTGTCCGGCCTCTTGTCGAGTGCAAAGTCAGCAACGATCCGCTCAAGGACACTCTCACGCTTGGCTTTTGCAGTGCCGCCCCTGTTGAGCCCTCTCTTTGAGCGCTGATCAAGGGCACCCTGAAGCCCCTCCGGCCCGCCGTGCTTCTCAAAGGCGACTCCGAGAGCATCCTGCCACCTGTACATACTGATATCGTTGTGATAGGACCGGTGCCGGGTGCGGAGCACCGCACAGGGAGCCAAGTCTGCGTCATTCAGGAGGAGTGCTCGCTTACATTCTGTCCGGCCGACTATGCGCAGCTGTCTAGGCCCATCGGCACCCGTGCAGGTCATGCAAGCATGAAGTGAGGGATCGAATGGGAATACGAGTGACGTCCTCCTCTTGCAACCCGCACAAGGCCTCGGGGGTCTGAACGGACACCCCCGGCTGCGTTCCAGCACGGTAGTTCCCTTTCTTCTCGGCCCAGGCATCCCTTGCTACTTGCCGGAACTCCCGTGATACCGGAGCAATTGCAAGCAGCAGATCCTGTCCCATATCGGAGTGATGTTGCAAGAGGTCGGGTAGGAGGTGAGCAATGGCTGTTGCCATTGCTCTCGTGGGTCCATAAGAATCTGGAGCAGCTGGCCGCAGCCTGGGATGGATCAATCAATGGACATCGTCCGTTGATTGCATGGCGTGCAACGAGCTGGGTCTCAAGACAGGCAACACGCATGGCGCGCAAACACGGAGGTTTCAGAGCTCTCCCCTAGGAGGGAATCAGGGTGTTTGAGATTCTGAAATACTTTTGAAAGTTCCGCTCCATCTGCGCATCTGCGGGGCGTGCCGTCGACTCTAACATCTTTTATTATGCCGGGGATGCACTGCGCGCATGGCGCGCAAACACGGAGGATTCAGAGCTCTCCCCTAGGAAGGAATAAGGGTGTTTGAGATTCTGAAATACTTTTGAAAGTTCCGCTCCATCTGCGTATGCCCGGTCAGCAAGTCCAAGTCCAAGTTTCCTTCCGAGCTATTTTTCCGCAGGCATTTATGCCAATTGCCAATGCAGTGCCCGGTATGCAAGTCCAAGTCCAAGTCCAAGTATCTCACCGGGCACTGATTTCACTGGCATTTTCGCCAATGCGGTGCCCGGTAGCGCCTCCAAAGTCCAACCAAGTCCAAGTTTCTCACCGGGCACTATTTTTACAGGCATTTGCGCCAATGCAGTGCCCGGTAGCGCCTCCAAGTCTAAGTCCAGGTCCAAGTCC